CAGCTCTTGGGGGCTATCCACAGAGACGCAGTCTCAGGAAACAGATGTGGGAGAAAGGCTGGACTCGGCCAAACAAGGCAACATTAGACAAAACAGCAGCAAATCCCTGTGTCAGCACTCCAGAGAGAGCTGCAAGGCTGGGCTTGGGCTGGGCTGGGGGGATAAGGAGGCTCAGCAACAGCAGCCCTGTCCTTCTGGCTGCACACACCAAGCAGAGGGGCAGCTCCCCTCGGGAAGGGGCTGAAAAACGAGCAGGTCACAGGCCAGGCCTGAATCGCCCTTTAGCATGAGCGTGCAGGTTACACAGGCTGGACAAGCAGAGAGAGCAGCGCGAGGGGCAGAAGCAAAGCAGGGGAGGCCACGTGGGGTTCAGCCTTGGGAACGAAACTGGTGCAGGGAGACGGCCCCCCGCTGCGGGGCTGACGGGGCACTCGGCAGAGCCCTGGGCATGGAGCCACAGTGGCCCTGCAAGTCATCTGCTCGCAGGCGATTCCCAAGCCCAAGTGCGGCACTGGGGAGACAAAACACCGTGCCAGAGAAAGCAGGGCTTGCCCTGAGGCACCAGGGAGGATCCGGCAGCAGGTGGCGGAGGCGGCTGGGCCAGGGCCCTGCCCCTCGCTGCTAGGCTGCGGCAGCGTATGTGGGGCACACGTATGTGGGGCACGCGAGTGCAGCTGGGAGCACCGGCTGGTGACAAGGCCGGTGTGTGGCCGAGTCACTCGCGGCAGGTGGAACCAGCGCGGTCACCGGACGGCAGCCAGGAGACGGACACGAGCAGAACCAGCCCAGCCACCCGCCCACGCGGTGCCTGGTCACAGCACACGGGAAAGCTCCTGCCCACCCACCCGAGCCCACGGCAGGTTGGCTCTGCTCACGTCAAGGCACGGGCTGGGCCTCCTGCTGGCAGCTCACCCAGGCTGCATCCTGCCAGCTGAGGACTCAGCTGGGCCCCATGGCCACGGCCTGTGGTTTGACACTGAACAAGCCAACCAGCCACAGCCGGCGTTTTCCTCCCGTTTTCTCCTGCCCCAGCCGTAGGGCTCCTGGGCAGTCCTGCAGCCTGGCAGCTACCTAGCTCCTTGCTGCCCCGCTGCAGCATGCCAACCGGGCTGTCTGGCTCGCTGCCCGTTCCTCTCTGCTCCTCACAAGCATGCTGCCAAGTTCAAGGACTTTATGACCTGCCTTGGAGAGACCTTGACCTTGAGCCTGCCAACCGTGACAGCAGCAGGGAGGCAGCAGGAGATCCCTGCCTCCCCCCGTCGGGTTCCAGTGCCCCAGAAGTGGCTGATAAGGGCTGCGTGCCCAGATAACACGTGCACAATCAGCACTTGCTCGGAGCAGAAGATGCTGGTTCAACAGGTCAACGGGCAACCGACACTACAATTAAAGGTGGGAGCAAAGGGCAGCACTCAGACTCCTACGCATGGCACTTCCCAGAACGCGGGCTGGAGAGGCGCCCAGCCAGGACATAAGGTCCTTGGCACAGACCCTGCTGCGGTGCTCACGTCACCCACCACTGGCCCCCCTGACGTTCCCGGTCCCTGGGGCACCCAGCATCGCCCTCGCTGGCAGCACCCACCCCTTCTGGACGACAGCCCAGATGTTGAAACCTCCAGCAAGAAGGCAGCGGCAGGGGCAAGGTCTGAAGGTACCATTGCAAGGAACAAGCTTTTGCTGATGAAGGAGAAAGCCCAGCCAGTAACTCTGAGCTCATTAGGAAATGTTCATTTGTGATCGGCATGAACTAGTGGCAAATGCTCAAAGGTCACGGCCTAGGTTTATGGCTCCCACAATCTCCATTCCTCCCTGGCTGCTCGCCATCCTGGGAAGTGCAACGTGCTCCCGTCTTCACAGGGCTCCGCCTGTACCACGGTCCCCAGGTCAACGGACAGGTGCCCAAGGTGGCTCTTACGAGTCCCCCTGTGCTGCGGCAGTGCTAGGGAAACTGCAGAGGAGGCAGAGAGGGGCCAGAAGCTTGCCTGCGTTGTGGAGGCCCCCACCCACCCACCTTCAGCGTTCAATTGCCCCCAGGACATAGCTGAGCAGGCGCAAATAAAGAATGGGGCTTGAGGAAGCAGTTGGGGTTGGCCCAGGCCGCACGAAGGGGCAGCCTCAAAAGCAGAGGGAACGTGCAGCATCACCCGCCAGCTCCTCCGGCTCTCGCCACCCAGGCACCCTGAGAGCCGAGCAGGACTCGAGTTGTCCTGCCCCGAGCAGAAGACGAGAGCCTTAGTCAAAGACTGACTCAGCGTCCAAAGTGCATCCCCTACGTAGGCAAAGCGCTCGTCCAGGAGCTCCGGCCCCCGTGCGAGAGCCTTGCCTGGCCAGCAGCTTCTGCGAGCTCTCAAAACCTCGTCTCGGCGCACAAGCGCCCAGGCCGGAGCCACCCCCGCCCCAGCTCTGGCGCAAGGAGAAGTGAACAGGTTCCTTCCACCTGGGTCTGCTGAGGCTCAGCTGACCGGCAAGCAGGCCGAGCAGCGCTGGCAGTGCCAGCTGCCAGGCTTCCCGGTGGCCCTAGCCTGGGCCTTCCTCAAAGAATTAAGTCGGCCCCTTCCACAAGGCTGGGAACGAGCTTCGCCTTCTCCATCCAAGCGCTGCGCAAATAGCACTTAGCTCTTTGGCCCCCTGCAGCGGGCAGCACCGGGGAAGACGGGGGGGCCTTGGCTACGTCACCGCGGCAAGGCAGACGAGAGCTCAGCCCACGCCGCGGAGCAGGACCCACGCGTCACGGCCCGAGAGCTGGGCACCGCGGCCCGAGAGGCCCGGGCAGACGAGGGCGGAGGGCGTCCGGGGCAGGAGCCGGCCGCGGGAGAGGGCAACAAGCCCCAGAGCGTGGGCCGTGGGCCGGGCCCCGGCACAGCGCGTTCAGGTCCCCGCTGCAGGGGTGATGCTCGG